TCAGGAGCGACTTGAGAAATGGCAAGTCACTTCTGGTGTGAGAGAATTGGCCATCTGCAAGGACGTTGCCCAGGAGACACCTGGATGTTTTGATGTTTACTATCCTTGTGGAAGGCTTCTCTCATTTTATCACTAAAATGATAAAAGGTCTGGAGAACAAGCCCTATGAGGAGCGGCTTAAGGAGCTGGGCATGTTTAGCCTGAAGAAGAGAAGGCTGAGAGGGGATATGATAGCCATGTATAAATATGTGAGAGGAAGCCACAGGGAGGAGGGAGCAAGCTTGTTTTCTGCTTCCCTGGAGACTAGGACGCGGAACAATGGCTTCAAACTACAAGAGAGGAGATTCCATCTGAACATGAGGAAGAACTTCCTGACTGTGAGAGCCGTTCAGCAGTGGAACTCTCTGCCCCGGAGTGTGGTGGAGGCTCCTTCTTTGGAAGCTTTTAAACAGAGGCTGGATGGCCATCTGTCAGGGGTGATTTGAATGCAATATTCCTGCTTCTTGGCAGGGGGTTGGACTGGATGGCCCAGGAGGTCTCTTCCAACTCTTTGATTCTATGATTCTATGATTCTATGATTCTCATGTCCCCGCATGGGGAGCTGGAGCTGACAGAGGAAGCTCATCCTTAGAATGGCTAGATTAATATCCTAAATACAAAAAGAAAGGTAGCAATAGTACAGATCAGAGTCACATTTTAAAAGAGCTAGAGGTTAGTAGTGAACAATACCTATTTTTCATTCATAGATAGAAAACATATCCTCTCCAAATAAGGACAATACCTGAAATCCCCAGGAGCCACTGATAGTGTAAACAGTACTGAAATAGATGAACCAGTGGGTTGTTGTAGCATAAGGCAGCTTGCTTTAGTTTTCACCCACACATAACATTAGGAACAAGGTTACTCTGGATTAAATGCAATTGCAAGTTCCAACTAGAGTGGAACTACTGAACCAATTTCTCATTTTGATTCATGTTCATATTTCTTTTGTCTGTAATTGTGATAATTGGATTTGGGGGGGGGGGGAAGTTTGTGGAAACAAGGCTTGGTGAGAAAGGTTCAGTGGAGACACCTTTTTCCCCACGATAACTCTTCCAGGACTGAATTTCCTATCCTAGGAGTAGATTTCTCTTACTTCCACTTGTCTCATCCTTGTTCTTAACTATGACTCATATGTAAGCCAGGTGTTTGTAACCTGGGTACTGTATTGTCAAAGGCCTTCATGGCCGGAATCACTGGATCCTCTGAAGACGCCAGCCACAGTTGCAGGTAAAACATCAGGATAAAATGCTGCTAGAACATGGCAGTTTCTCAAGTCACACCTGACTCAAAAACAAAATGGCCATACAGCCCGGAAACCACACCCCCAACTTGTGGACTGCCTGTAATAAAATATAAAGAAATCTGTGCTTAGATCACTATTGAATGCTGAATTTCTGAGTTCATATATGAAAAATTCCCCAGGTACTTGTTTATATTTTTAGACCAAAATGAAGAAGAAAGATTGGTTCACCTTATATTTTAAACAGGCAGTTTCTGATATATGTTGCTGCTGTACTGTTTACATCACAGAGAAAGTCATGGAACATGTCCAATGGCCAAACTCCACATTTTTGACGGATGATAATAGAATGCAGCTGTTCTGGCCTCTCTGTGAATGAAGATAATTTATAATCCATGCATTCACATACAAAGAAAGTGTGTTTAATTTTTATTATTTTTTTTGCTGGAAGGGAAATAGTCTTTGAAGTACTTCCTTACAAACTATGCATGCCAAGGCAACATACCCATTTCTCTGGCACAGGATGGAGAAAGTCTCCTGAGGACAGTGATCTTGTGCCCATGTGGCCTGGAAGAGACTGCAAGCTTTATGGAGATGTGTCAGATTATTACACACACAACATTGTGTCTTTTCAAACCCAAATGTCCATGACATTTGATAATTGTTTGTAATAAATACACAGAACCATCACTGATAGAAAACAGGGAGAGATTAGCCAGCCCTCTCACCAAAGTCAGCACTATAAATCATAAATGGGAGTTTCATGTTATGTAACATCCCAAATGCTAGAGTCTCAATTGCTCATTAACCTAAAGAGGGTAAGTAAGGTTTTGCTTTTATTACTTTTTCAATTTGTAAATTTTGTTTTGCATGAGCTGCAGGATTATTCTAACCTAATCTGTGAGCAGAGAGGTGGATTGCCTTGCATCAGCCAGCAAATGGAGCAATGCAGATTCCTTAAAGATCCTTCTATGCTGTTTTCCAGTAAGCACATTGAAGGGAAGGGCAGGGTTTGTGAACTATTCTGCAGTAAACAATTTGTAGGCTTTAAACATTCCAAGTGGATATATTTTAGGATGACCAGGCATCACTTGTTTCAGAAACTCTTAGGAGTAATACAGCAGGCGTCATGGTTCAGATGTCTCGCATTTTTGCTTAATGTGTCTGTAAGTAACATTGTAGCATATTGCAAGTTTCAGACTGAATGCTAAAATAAATCTGACACAGCTAAAAATGTGAAGGAATCTCACCACTGTTTTGATTTGGGCTGAAACAAGCCATCTTGAGACAGCCTGGTGAGAAAGCTTGGCAAGGATTTTGCATTTTTATAGGCGTTCTTGCTGCCAGAGCAAGACAACAAAAAAGGTTCATTGTCAACAGTGCAGAGCTACAACCTCATCATATAGACGCCCCCCCCCCCCACACACCATGCCATTTCACCAGCCTCTGCATTCCCTCACGAGCAGACAGGGGCGGCTCAACCCATTACCCAAGTAAGCATTTGCAGTATAGTTGATTTTGCCCAGGGGAGCTCTTGAGGCACTCTTGGGGGAAAATAGACTTTGACACATGCGAGTTGTACTTACTGGGATGTATAGTTCACCTACAATCAAAGAGCATTCTGAACTCCACCAATGATGGAATTGAACCAAATATGGCACACAGAACTCCCACAATGAACAGTGTGTGTGTGTGTATATATGTATATATATATATATATATATATATATATATATATATATATATATATCAGTGATTGGTTGGGGGGGGCGCCAAAATACTGTTTGTTTACTGTTGAAAATTACTTAGGGCCGCAGCAGCATCAAGGCAGTGCTGAAGTATGCTTGCCCATTGGAGCCAGCACAACTCAGGAACCTTCCCATGTTAGGAAGGAAGTGTCCTATGATGAGTGTGGGGCTTCAAAGGCAGTCCAGTGACATCATGTGATGGGCAATGTGCCCATCCATCACTGGACTCCCTTTAGTGTCCTAGGATGGTAAAAAGGATAAGTGTGATGAGGACTTCAGTCCCTTTTATATTTGTGAATCTAAGCAAACATAAAAGGAGAGGCTGATTCATCAGAACGCCACAAGCAACCCATCCTGTTTACATTTGATGGGTCATGCAAGGAGTCAACACTTTGTGACTTAAATCAGTTCAAGTCAAAAAGGGAAACAAACAAACAAACAAGACCATGTCACACCAACCCTCTTTGCAGAAACAGTTGGGTAAGTGGAGATAATAGATACTTAGTTGAGATATCAGTACTTTGGTATCTCACCCCTCTTCAGTAGCAAAACCGATTTGGGCCTGCAGTCGCATCCTTGTGCATCCTTGTAACTCCATCTTTCTGCACTATTCCCTATCCAGCATGCATACCAGTTCATTAAATGTTTATTTTTATGAAGCATGGTTGTGCAATTTACCATTAAAAAGATCATTGTGTGTGCACACACACATGTATTTTCAAAGAATATGTATGTTTGTCTGTTTTTACCACAAATACTCTTGCCAGGTGAAGTGGCCCTCAGTGATGTCACCAAATAGACTGTTGCTAGGTGAAGGATTGGCTTCTATGTGAAGTGGCTCTCTGTGGTGTCACTAGAAAAGAAAGATGACATGTGCATGAGGAGAAGGTAGTGAGGAAGAAAAGAGTGTTGTCATGGGTGGGCCTTCTCAGAGCTGGAGAAGGGAGAAAGTAGTCATGTAGCAATCCCAGTTACCCAGGCAATGCTGGATATATATGCTAGTCTTCTATATAATTAAAAGTCAAAATATGTATGTGTGTATGTGTCTCTCTGCCTATCTATGTTTATATCTATTTCTCAAGATGGCTCCCACATCCAGAGAGCACTGTGAGCCCCACCAGTTATGAATCTGGACCAAATGTGACACACATAACCAACATGACCAACAGAAAATACTATTGGGGTTTGGCAAGTGTGTGTGTCGGGGGGGGGGGGGGGGGGTTGATCCTGGACAATGGGAGAAATATTCCACCCATGTCCAGAGAGCATTGTGAATTCCATGACAATGGATCTCTAACAAACTTGGCACACATGTCTACCATGACCAACTTTACATACTGATAGGTTGGGGGGCGGGGTGTTAAGCCTGGATGATGGGAGTTGTAGGTCATCCACAATTAAAGAGCACTCTAAACCGAACCGACTATGAATCTGGACCAAACTTGGCATACATACTCAACCTGACCAACTTTAAGTACTGGCAGAGTTTGGGCAGCAATGATAAGTGATTATGAGATTTTTAGTTTACCACATCCTTATGAATTTTCTAATGGGACCATTAATAAAATCGAAAACTAAACAAATAATAGTTATGTCAGAGTCCTGCCCAGCTTCTCTCTTCAAAGCAGCTGAGCACACAAACATAATCCAGGGGCTGTCCGAGGTCAACACAGTAATCAATCAGCCAAGCAAGGATGAGACAAGAGGGTAAGTGTAAGTCCATTCCAATATTCCAAAGCCAACTTAAGGTGCTGATTCAGCCCTTGCTGTGAGCCCAGAGGAGTGGTAAGTCTTTCATTGTCCACTTGGGGTTGCTCTTGTTCCTGTTCCGAAGTAGTGGCTTCCTCAGTGTCTGGATGACCCTATTGTTGCTCTGTATTTGAACCCAATTTGAATGTTGGAAATTAAGTAATCCTTCCTCCACCTCCTCATTGTAGACACTAGCCATGAAAAGTTATCATTACAAAAGTCCTAACCTGGACATCACTAGATACCTACGCTAGTATAAAATGAAAGCAAAACAACCACATTGGGGATAGCGAGGGAGAGAGGAGGAGAATTCCATTCACTAGTGTCAGCATGCCAGTACAAAAGCGGAATGGCCATCAGAATAAGGTAGGTAGTTTGAATGTTGTGGAATGGAAATATATTAACCAAAGAATCACAGAGAGGCGGTGAGGCAAACTGGTAGCAGGATGCACATGGCATCATCTGATTGCTACTGTCACCAAATCAGTGGTCCATCTGCACTGTAAATTTGCCTTTCTGATTTCCTGCAAAACAAGTCAGGACTTATGTCCCTAGAGACTATGCTGGTGCATTCTTAGAAAAAAAGAAATAATTAAAACATAATGTGTGGCATTTGCTACAAGTCCTGCAGGACAAACCAGGCTTACCATTAGACAGAGGATGAGCATCAACCAAGGTCTTTGATGATCTTGCTGGCCTGGTGACCATCACTGAATGTATAGTGGTGTCTCTCATAGCTATCTCTGCATACATTGTTTATATATTTGTCTTCTTTTACTTGCCATCTCAGGAGTAATGGCAGAACAATTAGTCTGATGTAAATTGGTTTAAATCAACCCCAATATTCAGTTTTCCTCAATCATTGATCAATACCTGCAATATGTCCACAGGGCATAATGATAGCAATTTGAAATCATGTTAACTGCCATGAGTTCGCATTATGGATTCCATGGATTTGTAGTATGATGTGATTTTAAAAATTCTATGCTGAAGAGATCAAGTATCCATATCTGGTCTGTTTATAACTGAGTCTAAATAGCTCATCAAGCTACAACTCCCAGGATTTGACAGAATGGAGCCATGGCAGCTATGACTGTGTTATGTGTGTGCATGTATGTGTGTGTGCCTTCAGGTCATCTGTTTAGTTATGGTGACTTCATGAATTGCATAGTTTTCCATAGGCAAGGAATATTCAGAGATGATTCTGCCAGTTCCTTCCTGTAAAATATTGCCTACAGCACCTGGTACTCATTGACCTCTCATCCAAGTACTACTCACTCTGCAACTCTATGCAATAAATCTAACATGCACTGCCTTATAATGAGGTACAGAGTTGGCAAAAAGGGAGTGGCTTTATGAATTATAGTTTCAAAAAAAAAAAAAACCCGGCCATTAGTGCTGGTAGGAGGATTCTGAAAATTGTAATCCAAATTCAGTATAAGAAAATCATTGCACATGGCATCTTCCACTAAAATTAGTTTTGAAGTAGGAAAATATATCCACTAACCCCAAATTCTCCCCTGTTTTACATTTTGCCCTAATTTATAGGAGAGAGAAGAAGGGGAAGTTCTCTGTACAAGATTTGTGTGCCTCAACTGACATGCTTCTGTACTACAGTCAAGATCTGACTTATACAGGTTGAAACTGGATGAACAGTACTGGTGAGTGAGTGAGAGAGAACAAAAGAAAGAAAAAGAAAGTACATATTGATATTTAAAAAGAGACACTTCCGCCATCTCCCCCAAAGCCAAAATGTTTTACTATATGGAGCAATTGAAAATTAAGGACTGCCTTAGATGCACAGCAACAATTTCAGGAGCTTGGGCAGCACAGAATTACTAGTAAATGAGAGAGAAACAATGAATATTGCCTGTGGTTTGGACTGGGATTAGAAAGAGGCAGAAGCAGACAATAGGAAAGCAATTTGAAGACTACTATATGGAACTCATAATTTTAGGAACTGGATTTGTTTCTGTTACAATATAAGCCTCTGGAGACGTTTTCAAGGCACAATCTCTCACCAGAATGAAGAACATAGCCCTCATTTGGTTACAATGTGAATTATGAGATGCTTTCCTGTGCCAGAAAGTGAAAGCTGAGTATCAGATTTTGGCAAAATGGTATTTCAACATCAGGCATGAATCAATCAGACTTGAAAGAGATATTTCACAATGAAAGCCAAAAGATTTATCTGGGGGCATGATTTTTGGATTTTTTCAAAAATTGCAGTCAAAACGTGTAGATTTATTTTGTTTAATACATGAGTCACAAAGAAACTTGGTACAGAACTTGTCTGGGAGCCAGCTTCTGAGTGGTGAAAAGGATTTTTGTCAAACGGCAGAAGTGATGGATTGCCTGTGAAAAGAAGCAAGAAGGGGCAAGATCAGAACACTCTGTTCTAAGTGATGTACAGCTAGTCTGCAAGAGAAAAAGACTGTCTGTAGTACAAAAAGGCTTGCTTGGTGGTTAGCAGGAGGGAAATCCAAATACTCCATCTATCTGTGGATCCATGACCACATAGGTTAGGACTCCAAAATATGCACTGAAAATGTTAGTTCATCAGGGTTGCTTTTTCCTGCAAGCATATGAATTTCATGCTATCCAAAGTAGACCATCTTCCTTCAGATCCATACATTTGCAAAACATAAGAGGCAGTTACCTTTAAAATGTGTACAAAAGTATGTGTCCATTTTAAAAATGTGAAGGATTTAAAAATATGCATATTCAACAATTGCATACTTTTTGCTTACTAGGAAGATGAATATAATGGAATAACAAAATGTGTCTTTTGTGGATAATATATGTGCATGAAAGAAAGAAAAAAATTGACATGGGACAATGGGGATTCTGAGAAATGCAAAGACAATTAAACTGACATTTGTAATTCATATGCTTGTGTCTCATCCAAATATGACTACCATGAAGGGAAACATTCTGTGCCCATGAGGTCTCACCTTCCAAAACGAAGGATGAAAAAGTGAGCTGGTGCCAGGATCAAGAGGCCTTGTTATAGAGGCTTAAAGAGTTATGACTGGCATAGAGAAGACTGATTAAAATGTTTCTCTCTCTCATAATATTAGAATTCAGACATGAGTAATTTAAATTGAACTGCAGTACATACAGCACAAACAATAATGAAAACTGCTTCCCAAGCATAATTATCCTACATGATTTGGTGACATGATATGGGGCTAGCCGGGGCTTTATATGACATTAAAATGGGATTAAACAACATTTACTGAGGACAAGCCTGCTGGCATATACAAGTATAGGCTACGCTGGATATTCCTGTCGGTTTACTTTTCCCAATTTTGGGGATTCAAGGGGAGGCGCCAAAGCATTCTGCAAAAGAGACTGGAGTAAGCAAAAATATAAGGGTGAGGTGGGGTAAAATTAGTGCTCTACCTGCCAATAAATTTTTGACCCACAAACATTTTTCTTTCATTCCCAAATAAGTGGTACTGTAGAAAGTGAAACACCAAAAACTTTTCACACCTGGAATTCATAATTTGCAATGTTTATACTCCCATTGTAATTGATCCTTTTCTTTGAATGTCCAAACTGGAATCGCTAAATGTTCAGCTGAAGTATTTAATTACTGTGATGCTAGAAATTTGGAGACTTCAGGAAAATTCCATGATGAGGAAGACTTCTTATTTTGGGGAGAGCAATTCTCAATTCGTTTCCCTCCATATCGGCCCCCCTCTCCCTCAGGACCAGGAGGAACTCGTAGAGATTTCCCATGTGGGTAGAAATTAGATGGCCTGTTTACCTTATAATATTTTTTTAAACTCCCAGCACATTTCCAACAATTTAAGTAGGTTTGCAGACAGATTTTCATTCTGTCAGTAGCTTCTAGAAAGCCTAAGTCAGATGAAACCACAAGTGGGAGTCTGGGGAAACCAGGGGCCCTTCCACACAGCCCTGTATCCCAGAATATCAAGGCAGAAAATCCTACAGTATCTGAGTGTGGACTCAAATAACTCAATTCAAAGCAGATATTGTGGGATTTTCTGTCTTGATATTCTGGAATATGAGGCCGTGTGGAAGGGCCCCTGGTGAGTGAAGGGTGATGTCAGTGTTCCTCATTGGTACCAAACATATTAGCTAAGTGGAACCTCTGTGTCCAGTGACAGTACCTTTCCCAGTATCAGTTGATAGAGTATGGAGATGACAAAAAGAGGGTTCTGTTGAGCTTGTTATACAGAAACATCTGTACAAACTTAGTTGGGAGAACTATGCAAGAAAATATTAACATTTGGCCTGATAAAACAATGAATTTCGGTTGCAGAGTGTCAGGAAGATGCCTCTCAAACCCCATTGCATTTTCAACTCATGGACTGGAAAGTTATATAGAAATATCTTAAATAAATAAATAAATAAATAAGGTTTATAGGGTTAGCAAAATCCCATGACTCTACTCAATAACTGCAAGTATGCATTGTTGTGACGCTGATTATTTTTCTAGCATCCCTTTAATCCGCTGTCATTTTCTCTTTCCTTTCTTTCTTCCATTTGATCAGTGGATCCCAACCATTGGTCCTTCACGTATTTGGCACTTCAGCTCCCAGAATTCCTGACAGTTAACCAAGCTGGCTAGGCCTTTCCAAACACCTAGAGGACCAAAGATTGAGAACTATCACATAGACCACATATATCATTGTGGACAACCCTTATATGTACGATTTTATATGTTTTACAGAGATGAATTAGCTCATTTCTTTCTCTTCTAGACCCTGTGTGGGATGGGTAGGTATGAGATGGGTTTCTATTCAGTTTCTGCCTTCCCAGTTTCAACCCTCTGTTTGTGAGAGCCACTGTTATCTACACATTTTTCCAAATCAGGGTTATAACTGGCCATAAAAACAACCAATCTCATGTCTTCCAAAACCTCTGATAGTTGTCCCATAAGATGCCCTGCCTTAAGAAACCTGAGTATGTAGCCAAAAGATAGGGAGAATGGGTTTCGAGTCATGTGATCCAAAGACCAATGTAAAATTAGTCTAGTTTCAAATGGGATCAATTTTCAAAAATCTAATGGACATTCCTCAGACTAATCCAGTTTAATCAGGCTTATTCTTGGGTTGTATGTAAATAGCTCAAGTTAGATCATATGTTCAAAAGGGGCAAGTAGCAGATTGGATTAATTTATCCCATTCTTGCCTTTCCCTAAACAGATGACAAGTACCCAGAGCTGGATCAGAGCCTCCCTTTTTAGAAGTAAACTACACACAAGTCTTCCTAGTGGTTGAGATGTAAAGCCAAATAATATAGAGAAAATATCACTTTAAAGTTTGGTCAAGATGAAACAGATATATGGCAAAGAATTACAATTCAGCATTTAATTCCTATCAGATATTACCAGATTACTGCCATAAATAATCTCAGTAAAGTAAATGGAGAGGCAAGACAAATAATAATTGGGTGTTAGTAGTATTGGACTCCAAAATCAAAATATTACTCATTTTCACAATAAATCTGCTGGATTTTTTAAAGCCTAGAGCTTCCCTCAGCCCGAATGCCTTTTTTCCTCCCAAGACATGAACTAGACCTAAAATATTATTAGACTGATGATTAAATGAAGTGTTTGGAGACATTTGCCCGTATGATGAGGCCCACAGAGGTCTTGCTCTTCTAAATACATAAGGGAGGAAGGAGAGTGATTGGAGGCAGGATAGATTTCAGAACTGAAAGCCTGTTAGCAATAATGAGAATTACTCATTTAATTCTGTCATGTTCCATGTGGGAGATGAGAATCCCAGGGCTGTAAAACAAAGATTCTTGGTGACCCACTCACTGAACAATCCAACCTTAGTTGTACCTGAGAGACATCTTCAATAAGTCTATAAACATAACTGTAGAATATACTTAACAACTCAGCACACATGGAAAATGTATATGGAGAATGAATCCATAGCCCTAAAGAAATGGGTTCTTATGCCATGACAGCAGTTTGGAAATCAATTGCATCTGTAAAAAGTAGAAGACTGAGAAGTCTATTGGAATGTCACCTGACAATGCCAATGAAAATAATTTCTTCTATGTTTGTACAGCCTGACCCCCACCCATATTTATGAAATAGAGATATACCATTTCATTTATCCATGATTTTACTTATTAATGTATGGCTTTCTCTACAAGCTACACTGTTTTCTCATACTTCTCTCATTCATCCCACTGACATTTATGAAGATATAGGGAGAAAGGAACATATTTGATAGCAAGTAAATTCACTGCTTCTGTGATGAAGTGAGCCGTTTTTCCAAATAGGTTTTGTAAATAGTTTTTGTAGTTTTCATACACCAAGTTCTTATATTAAGGCAACAAAGCAGAACTTTATGCTCAGGGACTACAACATTAGTAAATTGTGAAGTTGCACAAGCAATTTCACACCTGCATGCTCAATGCACAACTCTGTTTCCACAACTTTGAACAAAATGGAGATGTAGCGCAGCAGACCAGAAAGTCCAATCATGTCACAAGTCATGTAAACTGTAGCCACTTTAAAGCTAGAACCAGTTATCTCAATTGCATGGAGTTTTCTCAATTAATTGACCAATTTTAATTGAAGAGAACATGCAATAATTGGCTTTATGCCATTTCTGAGTAAGTTGAACAGTGTGTTTGCAAATAAAGTCAATGTGAACAAGGCCCCTGGCAATGTAATTTTTGAGGACTTGAATGCCATTCCTGATCCCA